GGTGGCCAACGCTCTCCTGGGCGTCGTCACCGCCGCAGCGCTGGCCTCGGAGCGCGACGCCTCCATCTCTGGCCTGCAGGCCTCCAAGGCGGACACGAGCGCTCTTGCCGCGTACGCCCCGGGCAAGGCGGACGCGAGCGAGCTGGCGGCCCTGCTGTCCGCTGTGGACGGGCTGGACACGCCGCTGGAGGTGGACGGCAAGATAGCAAATGCCCTGCTTGGCCTGGCCTCAGAGGCCTACGTCGCCGCCCAGCTTGCCAGCCGCGACGCCAGCATCTCGGCGCTCCAGGGCTCCAAGGCCGACGCGACGCTGCTGGCCTCGTACGCCACGAACGCCGCGCTCTCAGCCAGCGAGACCGCGCTCCAGGGCGCCCTCGACGCAATCCTCGCGGAGCTCGCCGCCCTGCAGCTTTCCGGCAGCGGCGGAGTTGTTAACGCGCCGGCCTGGGCGGGCTTCACGACTTGGGAGCTCGTTCGCGGAAGCAACGTCGTGCGCAACCTGCATCTGGAGGCTCCTCTCTCGGCGGCGCTGGCCAACGGCGACGACACCCTGAGCATCGCGGCCGACTGCTACTCCATCGCGGCGGCGGACGCGGCCCTCGCGGCTGCGCTGCTGGCCTACTACACCTCGGCGCAAGTGGACGCGCTGCTGGCCGACTACCGAACGGGCGCGGCGCAGGACGCCGAAACGACCAGCGCCATCTCGGCCGCGCCGCGCAGGTGGACGCGCTGTTGGCCGACTACCGCACGGCGAGCGCGCAGGACACGCAGACGCAGGCGGCCATCGCGGGCGCGCTGCTGGCCTACCGGACGGGCCCTGACCAGGACGTCTTCACGACCAACCAGATCGCCTCGGCGCTGGCGGCGTACCGCTCGGCCGCCGACCAGGACACGGCGACGGCCTCGAGCATCGCCGCCGCCCTGCTCAGCTACTACACCGTCGCGCAGGTGGACGGCTTGCTGGCCGGCAAGCTCGGAGTCGCGGAGGCAGCCTCGGGCCTGGAGATAGCAGTGCGCTTCCCCGACGACGGCAGCGGCGACGAGGTGGTGGCCGCCATCGGGGAGCAGATCCTGGGCCCCACGGACGTCTCCCTGGCAAACTGGACGGTTCGCCCCAGCAGCGGCTGCAGCGTGGTCCTGGCCACGCACACCGTGGGCGCAGCGAGCTACACCCTGACCCTGGCAGTGAACCCGTGGAACATCGTGCGCACCTACAGCCTGACGCCCGGCCGGGAGCTCCTCTTCGCCTGCCGGTACCGGCTCGGCACGGCCTCCAACTTCGTGGTGTACATGTCCGAGGCCGACAACGTCTACGACCCCCTGTACGGCAGCTTCGTGGGGGACCAGGGCGCCTGGAGCACGGCCAAGATGTACTTCACCGTGCCGCCGAACGGGGTGGCGAAGCTGCACTTCGGGGCGCACTTCCAGGCGCCGGGCCTGCCCAACCAGACGGCAGGAACGGTGGACGTCTACGGCCTCCAGATCCTGGACGCAACCCTGGAGGCCGGCAACACGACGGAGGTCGAGGCGGACACGGCGGCCTCGGCCCTACTGCCGAAGCACGAGTTCCTCGACGGAGGGGCCGACGACGTCACGCTGGCCACCCTGGGCGAGGTGCTGCTGGAGCCCACGCTCACCACGCTAGGCAACTTCCTGGTGCGCTCCAACAGCCAGAGCTCCGTGGCCTCGGCCAGCTTCACGGTGGGAGGCTTCGAGCTGGAGGGCTACGCCTGGAACATCGTGCACCTACACCCTGACGCCGGGGAGGCGGTATTCTTTCGGCTGCCGGTACCGGCTGGGCACGGCCTCCAATTTGGTGATGTACGTCAGCGCGGCCGACAACGACTACGTGGGCGTCACCGGCACCTTCCTCGGCACGGCCTCGCAGGGCGTCTGGAGCACGCCGCGCCTGGACTTCTCGGTGCCCGATCGGAGCTTTCCCTTTTCGATCCCCGGGCTGGTGCAGCAGTCGGCGGGCACGCTGGGCCTGTACAGCCTGCAGATCAGGGCCTCGGCCTTCGAGGGAGAGTCGGTCTCCGTGACGGACCTGCTGGCCGACTCGCTGGCCCTCACGGGCTCGGCCACGCTGGACGGGCTCACCGCGCAGGGCAACGTGGGCTGCGACCAGCTGCTGTGCAACGACGTGAACTGCACGGACGTGTTCACCACGGGCGTGGACGCCTCGGGCGCGATCTCCTGCGCAGCGCTCACGGCCACCGGCGGCGTGTCCGGAGCCACGCTGTCGTCCACAGGCGCAGTGTCTGGCAGCTCGCTGGGCATCACGGGGGCGGCCAGCGTGGGCCTGCTGAGCTCGGCCACCGGGATCACCGGCAGCACGTTGACGATCAACAGCACGGCCAACGCGGGGAACTTCACCACGGTCGGCGACGTGTCCACGGGCACCCTGACTGCCTCCGGCGCAGCGACGGCGGCGAGCTTCGCAGCCACCGGGGCGGTTACGGGCGCCACGCTGACGATCACCGGGGCCGCCTCCGCGGGCCCGCTGGACTGCGAGAGCCTGGACTGCACCTTCACGGCCACGAGCGGCGGAGTGTCGACGGGCAGCGTGGTGTGCGGCGACGTGACGAGCTCGGGCACGGTCTCCGCCCCGCAGCTCTTCGCGTCCAACACGCTCGCCGTGACCAACACCTCCGACTTCTCGGACGATCTCTTTTTGACGAAGAACTGGGCGGGCTGGAGCAAGCTGCAGATTTCCAACAACAGCGCGGCCTCCGACAGCGGCCCGGAGCTGCGGCTGCTGGGCAACCAGAGCGCGCGGGTCTTCCTGGAGCGAGACGGCGGGGCGCACCAGTGCGGTGCGAGCTCATCATGATCAACGACAAGGCGCTGGTACAGACGAAGAGCCTCTCGACACAGCTGTCCCTGACCACGAACCAGAGGAACCCCGGCTGCCTCGTGATCGCCGGCAACACGGGCAACGTGGTCTGCAACACCAGCTTCACCAACCTGTCGGACAGCCGGGTGAAGACGGAGATGGCCGAGGCCGACCTTCTTGAGCTCCAGCAGCTCTTCGACGCCGTGGAGGCGAAGCAGTACAAGCGCCCCGACATGAACGAGGACCTGAGGCTGGGCTTCGCCTCGGACGACTTCGCGGGAGCGAAGTGGAAGAACCTGACGGGCACCGCCCGGTGGAGCGACGGCACCGAGATGGTCACGCTCGACTACTCGCACCTCACCAGCGTGCTCTGGGGGGTGTGCAAGGGCTTCCAGGCCAGGCTGGACGCCGTGGAAGCCTGGCAGGCCCAGCGAGGGCCGAAGAACTAGTAAACATGGAGGCCCTGAGGGATCTTGCCGACGACTTCAACGTGCGCGACCCCCGCAAGCTGTACCGCCTCGCAAGGCAGCGGGACATGGACGTGACGCAGGCCATGGCTGAAGGCCGACGTGGGCCGGCAGGTGCAGGCGCCCCGGCCACGCGCGCTGGGCAAGTCGGCTGCCGAGGCGCCGAACGACCGGCTGCAGGCCGACCTGATCGACTTCAGCCAGAACACCAGGGGGAAGACCAAGTACGGCCTCGTGGTGATGGACGTCTTCACCCGCGAGGCGGCCGTGGAGCCGCTGCAGAGCAAGAGCGCCGAGGCGGTGGGGCAGGCCACCAAGCGGGCCACCCGGGAGCTGGTGGGCGAGGAGCGCAACTTCGTGGTCACGACCGACCTGGGCAACGAGTTCGCCACGCTGGACCGGGAGCTGCCCGCGGAGGCGGTGCACCGCACCAGCGCCCCGAGGACCGCAACGCCACGGCCGTGGTGGACCGGGGCATCCAGACGCTGAAGAAGGACCTGGCGACCAGAGTGGCCCGCAGGGGTGGGCAGTGGAGCGACCATTTCGAGCGGGCCGCGGGCGCCTACAACGCCCGGCCGCACGAGACGGTCTACGGGGCCCCCGAGGACGTGGAGCGGCAGCCGGCCACCGAGTTCCGGCTGCTGCAGGACAACGCCGACAAGTTCCAGCACAACAAAGACTTAACGGACCGCCGCATCAAGGCGTTAGAGGACGCGGGGGCTTTCAGGGAGCCGACGGACGCCGACCGCAGCTTCAACCCGCAGTACGGCAACACGCGGCGGCTCTCGGAGCTTGATTCCATGGTCGTCCGGAGCACGGGGGGGCGCGAGACGTTGCTCAAGCTGGCCCTGCCGGCGCCCCAGAACAGCCGCAACGCGGCGGGGAGGCTGACGCTGCGGTGAGGCAATCCCGGGAGGCCGCGGCAGCTGGACGACTTCTTGGGGGCTCAAGGTGCGCCGTAAGAGACTCGGAGAGCTCGTGACACAGGTGCTTTTTCTGCCAAATCCCTGCGCCACAATGAGAAGATCCTGGCAAAATCGTGGCAAAGCGAGACAAGGTGAACCTGGCCGTGTTGGAGGACATCAAGAGCCGAGGGGGCTCGTAGCACAAAATGCGCTTTTCGCACTTTTCGCACTTTGCCTCACCAAGGCTTTCCGGCCGACCACGGGAGCTGTGATACCCCGGGTCTTATACACTATACACTATACACATCCAGTGGGTTTCCCCCACCCCGCCCCTGTCAACTTTGTCAACTTTGTCAACTTTGTCAACTTTGTCGTACTTCCGCTAAAGGGGGTCTCCCGATTCTCGGCGGCTCGGTGTGTGCGGTTCCGGATGCAACGCCGTGCAATCAGGTTTCTGACTAACGAATTGAATGATACCATTTACGATGGCAAGCACAACGGCTGGGAGCACTGGCTTTGGAGGGATTTGGAGGCAGCCCGCAAGCCCTGAGTTTGGAGCGGAGGCCCGAAAAGCGCGTTTTTGGGCCCGTGCCTCGTTGGCCGCGCCGACCCCCCTTTGGTGGCGGTTCGGGGCGGTTCGGCGCGCGCGGAGGCCCGAAAAGCGCGTTTTGGGCCCGCGTGCCTCGTTGGCCGCGCCGACCCCCTTTGGCGGGCGCTGGCCGCGCTGGCTGCCTGCGTTGCATTTTTTGCTCATTCAAGCTTGGGCTCTTGCGTTTCATCTAAGACCTTGAGGGCTCAAGCTTTGCGAACCCAGCGCCGCCATGGCCTCTCCCGCTGCCTGGCCCGCGGTGGCCATCGACCTCAGGGCCGCGGTGGCCACCGAGGAGCCGCAGCTGGGCGTGGTGCCAGCCTGGGCACGCCGGCAGACAGTGGAGCACCACGTGCTCGGAACGCAGCTGCTCGCCTGGCTGAAGACCCCACAGAGCCACAAGCGCAGGGTCTACAACCAGGTGAAGCAGCTTCTGCACAGCGCGCGGGGCGACGTGCACCGGCGGCGCTACTCCGGCTCCTGGCTGCGACTCGGCGCCGCGGAGTTCTGCGCCCTGACAGGGCGGACCACCACGCCCCGCGAGGACCGCCTGCGCCTGCTGCTGGACCCGCCGGTGGCGCGCGGCGACCTTCTGGGCGCCTGGGCTCGAGGCGACCCGCGCCGCCCGCAGCCGTCGCGAGCAGACGGCCACGCTGGCGCGGCAGCTCATGGACGCACAGGAGGCGGCCGCCGCGCGGCGCGAGGCGCTGCTGCAGCGTCTCCGCGAGGAGATGCGCGGCTGCCTGCCCATGCTGTCAGCCGCGGCCGGGGTGGCCCGCGAGGTGCGCGCAGGGCTGCCCGCCGAGGTGGCCTGCCGGCTGCGGCTGCCGCTGCCCGACGTGGTGTGGCTGGCTGGCCGCTGGCCCGCGCCCGCGGACGTGGCCTGGGACGCGCTGTGCGACCCGGAGCGGCTCCGCAGGCAGCTGCAGGGCGCGGCCGAGGGGTCGCTCAGGCGCGTCTACCACGACCCGGAAGAGCACGAGTCCGGGCTCGTGCGCGGTCTGGAGGCGGCCGACCCGCTGGAGCTGGTCTGGAGCTCCACCGGCTTCCAATACTGGCTGCGGGCGGAGCTCTCCGACGACTAGCCTGCGTGCCGGAAAAAGTCGAAGCCTACCTGCATGCCCAGAGTCAAAAGTGAAAAGTGAAAAGTGAACACGAGGGGGGCGGGGTAGGTCTGCTCGATTCCAAGGGTCGTCCCGAACCATGACCGAGCATCCGACAGAAGGACAGTGGAGTGTTGCGAGGAAGGAGCCTTTTCACTTTTCACTTTTCACTTTGTATCGAAGCCTACCTGCATGCCCAGAGTCAAAAGTGAAAAGTGAAAAGTGAAAACGAGGGGGGCGGGGTAGGTCTGCTCGATTCCAAGGGTCGTCCCGAACCATGACCGAGCATCCGACAGAAGGACAGTGGAGTGTTGCGAGGAAGGAGCCTTTTCACTTTTCACTTTTCACTTTGTATCGAAGCCTACCTGCATGCCCAGAGTCAAAAGTGAAAAGTGAAAAGTGAAAACGAGGGGGGCGGGGTAGGTCTGCTCGATTCCAAGGGTCGTCCCGAACCATGACCGAGCATTCGACAGAAGGACAGTGGAGTGTTGCGAGGAAGGAGCCTTTTCACTTTTCACTTTTGACTTTGTATCGAAGCCCCGCCTGGCAAACCCCCGGGATGGCACTTTGCCAGTTTGCCAGGTTTGCCAACCCCTCTAGAGAGCCTTCAGGGCGTCAGGCGCGTGGCCGCTGTCCGCCTGGCACACTGATTTCGGGGGACCGTTTTTTAGGGGGCGCTTCCAGCAGCGCTGAAAAGGGGTCCCTTTTTTGGGGGGGGAGCTTCCAGCAGCCTTTTTTTGTGGGGTTAGGGGCTCTTCTGGAACCGGGGGGTGAAGAATACCCACGCCTCGATGGCCACCTTGCAGCGGCTCAACCTGCCGCGAGCCTGTTACGGCGGCTGCCGCGAGCCTGTTACGGCGGCTGCCGCGAGCCTGTTACGGCGGCTCAACCTGCCGCGGCACGGCGCCTGCTCGGCTCTTTCAAACCAACACCCCCCCACTTCCCATCACAACAGGGGCCCAGGCCGCAAGAAGAGGAAGATCTCGAATGATGCCGACGCACGCGCGACCGCCCTCAAAAAATGGTCGGGGCCGCCAACGAGGCGTCGGGCCGGAATTCGGCGCTTTTTGGCGCGATTTGCCGCGCGACCGATCGACCATCCAGGGGGCCAGCCGGAGGGTGACAAATCTTGTCACCTGTCACCCCGGTCCCCGGTGGACCGGTCCAATCGGACCAACCGATCCACCCCTGCATGTCGAGCGTGAGGGAGGTGTGGATCAGTTGGTCGGGTTGTATCGACCATCCAGAGGGGGCCAGCCGGAGGGTGACACCTGTCACCCGGACCAACCGATCCACCCAGACAAAAAATCATCGGTTTGGGGACCCGGCAGCTGTCACGGACGCGGCGGACGGCGGCGCGCGGGCTCGCACGACGGCGGATGGCTCCGTCGTGCTGAGCTTGCGGCGCGGACCGGGGGCCTACGCGCTGCTGTCGCGAGCGGACGGGCAGCTGACCCGCGCGGGCCAGCACTACTACGACCACCTCGGGCTGCGGCCCCCGAGCAGAGAACGACTACATCCTGCTCCGGAACGGGCAGAAGAAGCTGGTGCGCTCGCTGGAGGCCGGGGAGCACCGGCTGACGAAGCTGGGGAAGGCGTTCTTCCGCGACAAGTTACTACGAGTACCTGGTGCACGTGCCGGTGATCATCCGCGGCCAGCGGCGCAGCGGCCGGAACGCGGGGGCGGGCTACGAGCGGCGCGACTGGCTGCCGATCAACGAGCTGGGCGGAGCGATGACGCGGCACCCCGCGGGGCTGACGGAGGAGCAGGTGGCGCAGCGGGTGCGGCGGCAGGTGGAGGCGTCGCTCGGGGACCCGGCGGGGCCCATTCTGCAGCTCTCGGACGAGACCTACTTCCTGGACCCCGAGGGCCGGTGGGTGGTGAGCACCCAGAGCACGCAGTACCGGAACAGCCGCACGGAGGTGGAGACGCTGCTGCGGCAGCGCATGCGGGGGCTGCGGGGCGTGTGCTTCCAGCTGCCCTGCGAGGAGGACGTGCTGCCGAGCGCCTTCGAGGACAAGCCGCTCTGCGTGCCCCGGCAGCTGGCGGAGCTGCTGCAGCTGAGCCTCGAGGAGGTGTGCGCGGACTTCGACGCAATGCTGAGCCACGACTGGCGCTCCTGGGGCATCTCGCCCGAGGAGATCCGGGAGTTCTGCGTCTGGCGCAACGCCCCGATGCGGTTCCTGAGCTCGCAGGGCGACCTGGTGGACAGCTACGACCCGGCGCTCAAGGAGCACCGCACCGTGTGCTTCCTGGCCTTCGACGGGCACTGCTACATGTACAGGGCCGTGAAGAGGGTGCTGGAGCGGCAAGCCTGGCGCACGCTGTACCGCGGCGAGGCCAGGCAGGAGCTGCCGCCGATCGGCGAGTGGAAGCGGTTCGACCCGGCCGCGCCGGAGCCGGGGCTGTTCTGGTGCGAGGACCTGCGGGAGGCGCGGCGGCAGCTGATGGCGGCCGGGCACAGCCCCAAGGTGGCGCTCAGCAGCCCCGCGCAGTACTGCGGCTTGAAGCTGCGGCGCGGTGCGCGGATCCGCGAGCTGCCCGAGGAGCACGAGCTGCTGCGCCGCTGGTGCGAGGCCCTGGGGCTGCAGTACCGGGGGCAGCGGCTGGCGGGCCTGGCGAGGTCTTCCTGAAGCTGCTGAAGGCCAAGCGCAAGGCGCCCACACGGCCGCGGAGCGGCAGCGGGTGCTGGCCGGCCAGGGCGGCGGCTGCGCCCTGTGCGGGCGCGCGGTGACCGCGGCCACCTGCGAGCTGGACCAGGTGGTGCCGGTGAGGCAGCTGTTCGCGGGCAGCGAGCAGCGGCTGCAGGCGCTCTGCGGGGACTGCCACGGCGAGAAGACGCTGCGGGAGTCCGCGCAGCCCACCAGCCTGGAGAGCCGTGGTGCGCTGCCGCCGCAACGGGCTGGCCAACGCGCCCTTCCCGCTGCCCATCCTGTGCCCCGCGGACGGCATCGAGCCTACACAGCCGGGCGAGCTGACCTGGGCTTCGTGGAGGGCTGCTGCGACGCGCGGCAGTCGCCGATGCACCTACGTGGGCGCGGCTGGTACCCCAAGGTGTCGCTGGCCGCGCTGCTGGAGCTGGGCGTGTGCCGCTGGGACCACATCCCGCTGGGCATCCGAGCGCGCAGCCACGTGGACGCGGCCACGCTGCGGCGGGCGCTGGAGCGCATGGACGCGGCCTGGCCGGAGGGCGAGGGGCACATGGCCAAGCTGAGCGTGAACGCGATGATCGGCCTGTGGGCCCGCAGCGCGGAGGTGGTCTACAGCGTGCGCAGCAGCAGCAGCGAGCTGGACGGGCCCGGGGCGGATTTCCGGCAGAGCTGTCTGGGACTTCGTCTACGCGCGGCGGCTGCTGAGCAACGGCACCTACCGGCCCCTGCACGACGCCGTGCTGGGCTTCGAGCGCTGCATGGTGGCCAAGGCCCGGCGGCTGCTGGAGGCGCCGCCCCTCTCCTGAAGCAGGCGAAGACCGACTGCCTGCTGGCCCAGGGGCTGCTCCAATTCCTGCATCCACTTCCGCAGGCTGCCCTCCGCGGCGAAGCAGATGTTGACTCGCCGGGCCCCGTCGTCCTGGTAGTTCCCCGGCTCCCAGAGCACCTCCACGGGGCGGTCCGTCGCGTGCGCCACCACGCCGCCGCGCGAGTCCTCGAGGGGCATGAAGCGCCCGCCCTTGGCGTTGGTCTGCACGTCCGCCAGCGCTAGCTTCATGGCTTGAAGCGGGAGTTTCGGCTGTTTTCTCAAGGCGCCAAAAAAAAAGATGGTGCGACCACTCGTCCTCCTGGCGGCCAACTGCGCGGCCGCGGGCCTGGCCGCGGGCCTCGCTGCGATGACGTGGCGCGCCGCGCAGCCTTCCCTGGAAAGCGATGCCGCGGCTGCTCGAGCTTTTCTGCGGCACGAAGTCGATCGGCCGGGCCTTCGAGGCGGCGGGCTGGGAGGTGATCTCGCTGGACATCCTGCCCAAATTCGAGCCCACGGTTCTGTGTGACATCCAGACCTGGGACTACACGGCCTACCGGCCGGGGCACTTCGACATGGTGTGGGCCAGCGCCTTGCACGGAATACAGCCGCGCGCTGACCACCCGCCCCCGGCGCCTGCCGGAGGGCGACGCCACGGCGGGCGATCGAGATCATTGCGCACCTCGAGCCGCTCATGTGGGTGATGGAGAACCCTCAAACGGGCCTTCTTAAGACGCGTCCCTTCATGCAGCAGCTGCCTTGGGTGGACGTTACCTACTGCCATTTCGGCGCCCCCTACCGCAAGCAGACGCGCCTGTGGACCAACATGCGCTGGCGCCCCAGCCGGGGGCTGTGCAAGCCGGGCAACCGCTGCCATGCCTGGGAGGACGGCAAACACCGCCGCACGGCGCAGCGGGCCTGCGGGCAATCTTGCGAGCTCCTGTACAGCATTCCCGCGGCGCTCTGTGCCGAGATCGCCGCGGCGGCGACGGCAGAGCTGGCGGAGCGGCTGAGCATCCCCGTTCAAGAAGCAAGCTAGCCGGAAAAAAACGCCGCCAGAAGCCCCCAAAACCTACTTCCGGTTTGCAAAGCTGCCCACAGGATCACTCGGAAAAGCCGCTCGGAAGCCGTGGCGGCAAAACGGAAGTCTGCGCTGGATGAGGAAACCTCCGGTGGAAACATCCGTTTCACGGGCGAGCAGTCGGGCCGGGGCCTATACACTATACACTATACAGCAGTCGGCCGGGGCCCGGGGGCGACCGGCCACGCTCCGGTTCCCGGGCACCCTCCCTTCGGCGCGCAGGTGTGGATCAGTTGGTCGGACCGGATCGGTCATCCAGGGGGGGGGGCAGCCGGAGGGTGACAAATCTTGTCACCTGTCACCTGGCTCCCCGGTGGACCGGTCCAATCGGACCAACCGATCCACCCCTGCGTGTCGAGCTTGAGGGCGGGCGCGGGGGGCTGCCGGCACGCAAGCGCTGGGAATCCAGGCTGCGGAGGCTCAGGCGGCCGGCGCCAGCTTGTC